TATGGTGCCTCACAGGTTTGTTGCTAAACTAATCTGTTTCCCTTCATTTGCTAAGTCCTGGGGAAAAAAAAACTTCTTATGCTTTTCTCTACACAGCATAAATTTTGCTTGATGAAATCTTGAGACTAGAGCAGAGTTTGGAGGGATCTTCTTATTAACAGCCATGCTACTCTGCTGCACATTCCAGCTGTGAGGAAGAGCAGGGCTGCTCTAGGATCAGTGGGATCAATTTAGTTTGGTTCTAAGAGAAATAAAAACATAAAGCAAAAAGGTAACAAAACCCATTTTGAGTTGTTAATGCTCTTAGGGAAAGGAGATGCTACCAATAGATGGCACTGTGGTCCTGTCACTCGGCTGTTCTTTAGCTAGAGAATATAATTTATTTAGGCTGCTGATTAATTTTAATATTCTAGTGCGACTTCTTTGTGAAATTAATTTCATTGACTGATTTCTAGTGAAAGTGCACTGTTTCTGAGACTGAAATATTCTAAGCTGCATGTACTTATCCAAATAATATATATTTTCATTAGGACAGCTGTCTTTAGGAAAAGAGAATGAGTGCAGTGGCTCATTTTGGGCCAGTTTAGTGAAATAGTTAAATTCTGCAACATGCTCTTTCTCTTTGTCCAGCATGATATTTAAAATTACTTTAGCTTTCAGCAGGCATTGTCCTGTGAGGATGTATGGGAGTATTTAAACCAAATACTTCAGACAAAACTCCAGTTTCTAAAACAATTGGTGGCATTTAAATATTTTTAATCTGCTTTACGAGCAGGGGGATCTGACAAAACAATAAAGCATTGGAACACCATTTTACAGGAACATTACAAAATACAGCAAACATTTTTTTTCTCTAGGTATTTACATAAGCAAACATATAGGTATTCAAAATAGAATGCATCTCACCATCTGGCAATAATTACAGAAGGACATGGTTGGCTGGGTGGGGTAGATAGAGGAGATTTTTTTGCCCTGAAGTATAGAAAGGATGCACACCAGCTTAGGAGACACGTGGTGAGCTTCATGTCTTTGGACATTTTTCAGATGCAGTCTTATCAGTCATAAAATGGTGATCTACTTGAAAAAATTGTTGATGAAAACAGATTTTTCAGGCAGAGAGGGTTTTTGGGGATGTGGATCTGACAAGCTGACTCAGCATGCTTTCCCTGGAAGAGAGGGGAAGGCCCTAACCTCTGAGCTAGGCTGGGTGAATGTCTTCTCTTTTTTTTTGCCTGGAAAAGTACAAAAGTTTCCATTCCAGTCTGATGCATAATGAAAACATTCACTTTTGTTTTTTTGCAAGGTGGAAGTGTTGCTCTGAGGCTCTAGTCACATTAAACTGTAGTGTTCATCCCAAGCATGGGCTCAGTGCTATGAATTGTGGTTTAAAACAGCTGAACTTTGTCATCTGTCTGCTGTATAATGACTCTATTAATTGCTCTCTGCTGATGAACAACCTCCTGCAGACCTGGCGTGGTGGCTAGAAAAAATTCAGACCCTGACTCTGTCATCCTCACTAAGGCAAACCACACAAAAATCTATTAACATTTTGGTGCAAGGTGGCAGAATCAGGTCTCCCTAAGCTATCAAAGATGTCCATGAAGAGCTGCAGATACTGCTCTTCATCTGCAGTGCATTCTTGGCTTTGAGAGGCTTCTTAGGCAAAAGCTGCTAAACACTCAATAAAACCACCTAAGTGCTCCCAGAATTAAAATGCCAGGCATCAGATATCCCTGCTTCTGAGTGAAAAAATAAGTGTTGTGTTACCTCCAGCTGTCAATTAAAAAACTCTCTTAGGTCCATTAAAGAAACGCTCTTAGGTCAATTAAAGAAAATCTCTAAGGTCCAAAACAGAGGGTCTGAAAAAAAAACATTGTTCAGAGTCTTCTAATGAAGCAGCCAGTGAGTAACTGAAGCTCTCTCTGTTGGTAGTGAAACATTCCCTGTCAGCATTTGCAACCTGAGCCAACTGCCATGGTGAAAGAGGAGCAGAAGGTGAAAGGAAAGAGAAACAGGGAGGGCTGATGTCTTCTGCCAGGGGGGTGAACTGCAGACAGTGAGCAGGGAGCATAAAGCAGTGCATGTGAAATGCTCAGTAACAGTCTGTCGAGTGCAAGCTGGTGAAGGAGACTGTGCAGAGCAGCAGCCAGACCCTCAGGGGTTTTGGAAGGAACTTCAGGGTGCCCTAGACGTGGTACAATAAGCACCAGGCTCTGTTCCCTGGCACGGGCTGGCAGCAGGACCCAAGCTGTTCATTCTGTCTGCTCCTACCTCTTGCAAGGCCAGGGACATTTGCATCAAGGTGAACAGAAATGGCACAAACCATGTTGATTCCCTCCCTTGGTGGAAGCATTCCCTTTCCCCTCACAGGCAGGGTTAGAGACCTTTGATCCTGTGTCAGTAGTCATCAGATGAAGGCAATGTGGTTTGATGGCAGATCCTGAGCCTCAGACCTCTACTCATGAAAGATCTTTGGTTTTATTACTGCTTACTTCATCCCTGGGGTGTCCATTCCCAAGGGGGACTCCTCAAAACCATCCCTTCAGATGTGTGGAGGTATCTGGACATCAGGTGGTACCTGAATCTCCTGGTTCATGGCATGCTCTGGATCACTCCAGCAGTGCTTCATCCCTTACCTGACTGGCCTGCATGGTACAAGTCTGTCATTGTCCTTAGCAAAATATCCCTGATGTAAGACCTATATCAAACTTGTCAGGAAAGAATGGGAACTCACTGCTCCCACCTGCTACCATGGTGGTCCTCGTGCTCAGCTGTCTGTACCAGATTCCCCCTGAAATCCCTCCTGTGCCTGTGTGGGGTGGACAGGGAGTGTGTAGGGGGTGTGCAGCGAGTTCATTTTTCCTTCTGTTGAAGTTGCTCAGTTTGGTTGTGGTGATCAACTGTCACCAGAGCCAGGGCAACATATAAATCCCCTCAGCAAGCACAGCACTTACAGCACCTGCATTATCAGGTGATCCTGAATTCCCAGGGGGTTTTTTGGAAAACAATGAATGGCCATGAGCCAACAGATGACATGCATGGCATCACTGCAGTGACCTAGAGCATGACACCTACACCCAGGTGAGAAGAGCTCCTGTGTGACCTGGGCACGGTGGCTTTCATCTGTCCCACACTGGAGGAAACAGCTCATAAAACTGGCAGGTTTAATTATCATACTGGAAAGAGAACAGTAAAAGCAGTTTCTTGGAAGTCACCCAAATACCCAGTTGAGTTTTAAGTCCTCTTCTACAGCAGATTGGTATTTGAAGCTAAAAGTCTTCTTCTTCCAAAGACCCCCAGCTGGTAGGCTAGAATCAGATTCAGTTGCTCTCTGTCTCTTTCTTTGCCTTAGTGGAAATTTAATTGGTCTGTGAAAACTGAACAACTTCAGGAGGAGGCCTGATGAAGGCATTGGAGTTTGACTTCTGGGTAGGCAGTGGGTTTTTTTCAGAGTGGACAGGACCTGAAACTGGAACACATTCTGATTGTGAGGACTGGGGCTGCCAAATTTATGGAACAAATCAAATTCTTGGCTTTAGGCTTTGCTGGTGGACGCAACGTTTCTATTTCTGCTGCCCAGCAGAGCCCCACTGGCTTCAGTGAACTCATCTACAGAGCCCAAAAGGAAAGAGTTTCATGACTGGGCATTTCTGTCCAGCAATGTATTTGCTGTTCTTTATGTCATGGATTCTGCCCTGGGAGCTGGTCAGGTGAAATACAGTGTTGCTTCTAAGTCCTGTCATTTTTCAAGTGGGTCCCATTTGCCTGTACATATTTCATTAAGGCTGAGTCCTAATAGTGCAAGCTACCTTCTGTTCCTGAGCAATCCACAGTGACAGCAAAACTAGGGAAAATTCTGAGCAAGTAACAGTTTTCTAATAAATCTGGCTCTACCAGCCCTAAAACAAAACCAGAAGGACACTTCCCTAACGGCCTTTTTAACCGAGGAGAAACGCTGAGAGAGGATCTGCAGCAACCTTTTACTGAAGGATTTGCTCATGCAAAATATCCACTTATGTTACTTAAATCCAGTTCTGTTGGTTGTGGAATCGTTCCTGAAATTATTTAGCAACGTTGTGCCTGGTTTTTCACTCTTCTCTCACTTCACATCCTTCTCAACATCAGCAGGA